ATAGCTCTTTGAATTTACTTATTTTTATGAATTATGGAAATAATACCGGACAAATTTTGTATTTCATGTAATATGAGAGATCAAAATTGATAAAGAGCAACTACTTAGATATTTATAAAACTAATTATTAAAAACATCCCTCATTTATTATTATTATTATTATTATTATTATTATTATTATTACTACTATTGATTTTGTTAATTATATTTTTACCATCATTATCATTATCAGTATTTTTCCTATCCGTGTTTCTTACTGTTAACGTAATTATTATATCAATATTATATTTGTATCATTCTTATTATCATTATTGTAGTATTTTCGAGAAGTTAACTGATGCCAATTGATCTGTTCATGAATTTTATCATGATGTTTAAAAAATCAGCTCTGCTAGAAATAAGGCTTCAGTTGATAAACTGAATTCCCAAAAACTTAAGTACGATCAAGCAATTGCCAACTGTTAAAATGTACTACATTGGTAACGTTTAATTTTATTTTGGTATCAATTATTTTTTCATTTTTGTGCAATCTGACAATTTATTGATCATTTTGTTACTTTCATACTCACTGTTGTTAATGCAATTTAAATGTGCACACATTGATTGATTCAGGCCCAGCAATATTTAATTTAGTAATTATTTCTCACATTTTTTTCTATGACAAATCTATTAATATATAGGATGATATAAATTTCATAACTGCCTATTAAAATTTGTCCATACTTATACGTCAAAAGATATTTAGTTCAATGTATATATTAAAAAGTGCTATAAATATATCAATTATTAGAAGAGATTGCTCACGCAGAAGCAAGTCCATAATGACCTTAAAAATCTCTTTTTTTTTTCAGATAAGAATGAATGTATTTAATTATTAACGCATAATCATTTTCATCTGAAATCTCATTTTGCTGCATGATCTAAATATAACCTATCTTATGGTTTCATTATCTCGATTTATTTTTAGACTTCATTACTGCTACATCCATAATAAATGCCTGAAAGCACAGAAAGATCCCTATAGCATTTATGATGTCGTGAAGAAACTTGCTGCTAATGTAAAGATTTCTATCAGCTGCTCGAAGAGTTACCCTGATAGATCAAAAAATGTGTATCTGTGTACAACGAAAATAGTGATTTTCAAAATTCATCAAAGAGTTTTTCTTTTTTTTTTCTCTTATTTTACTCTAATTATGCTCTCTTATATATTTTGCCTCACATAAGTAAATGCTCGTGTAAGAACAAGGCACTGATTATTGTAAATTATTCATTGTCTAATTCTACTTGTTCGCTTACAAATTTCAAATCTCTCGAATATAAAATGCATGAAACAAACGTAAAAATTTTGTTTTATTTCATTAACAAATGATTAATTCACTAAGTCTGTGATAAATAATTCTCGAATATATGTTATCAAGCTGAGCAGTTTTCCAAATTTTCATTGAATATATATATGTCATTGGACTGAACAATCTTAAAAGTTTGTGGTGTGTATTTATGCATGGCAGTTCCTTTACGTTTTGTATTTCATTGTCCTTGAAATTTTTATTCATTTTACAAAACCAATTATCAACTCTTTTGCAGTCTTTTGCGTTGTTTAAATGTAAGCTAAGTGAAGAGAGGTTAGAATGTAATATATTTCGATTCTTCTAATTTTATAATTGTTTTTTTTTATTAAAAGTAATCAAAGTTTTGTAGTATTTTCAAAGCAACATGTAAAAAAAATTAGTGGATGAGTACTTACGTTCATAAACTGTTAACGTAAAAAGCAGATGAATAGATGTGAATACTTTTTCATACCTGATGCAACTCGTTTCAGATGGATTATTCTTTACGTTTACTTTGTTATGAATACAATTTTAACAAAGGTAAGAATGCTGTAAGTAAGCAATAATCAACTAAAGCATATCTCTCATAATTTAGTATTTTCAGTATTTATCTGATAGCAACATTAACACCTGACATCATTCAGTAATTAACGATTGTCTGCTAATACATTTGACTTATTGCAGCACATCACAGAATCATCGACAAAAGTTTTTGCAGTTTGATGGCATAACTTGAAGTATTATTGAATTTCATGCATTTTTGAGTTAATAAATGGTTTTTAGTGTAGATATTTTGATTGAATTATTTTGATTGAAATTTAAAATGGAAGTAAAAGACATTTTTATAGTAATAAACGAATTTCTATCAATTTATGAAAAGTGAAATTAGGAACGATCGATTGATTGGTTATTTCTCATGCTGTAGTAGAGTTAGTTGATTACTAACTGCTCGTATCACTTATACTTATCACTATAGAAATTCAGTGATTCATAAATAAATAAATATATACAATAAAAAGGAAATTTAGTAGTTAGTATTTCTTGCAATGTTGGAAACTAACAAGCTGGGAACTAATTTTCTAATATTTTTCATCTTTTCTTCTGCTTTTTCTTTAACAAACTTTTTGAAAAAATTTTTTCCTTAGTAACAGTCTTAGAGTGATCACGTAGTTAATCTTAATTTTTAGCTTTCACTTGTTATATTTCTTTTAAAACTTGATTCATCAGTATTTTGTGTACTGGAAAATAATGAAGGTACTTTTTACTAGTAACTCATTTGCAATCAGCCATTAGCAGTGAAGTAAGTTTTTTCAACAAAAAAAAATTACTAACATTTGCCTTTCTTGCTTAGTCAAAAATTTGTAACATATTTCTGTAGGATATTCAATACTGAAAATGCATTTAAAAAGTGATTTTAAAATTAGATTTCTTAATTTTGTTATCTATTCTGAGATCTTACAACCCATGTATCTTAATTCTGTGTACACAAGTATCATAAATAATTGAACAGCGGAAATTATTGCGGCATCTACTGATCAATCTTTTTGTTATGTTTAAAAACTGTTCCAGTAATAACGGCAATAATAATGCTATGATGAGAAATTACTTCAAAACTAGTTTTGCCTATTTTTTGCAAGGTAGTAAAAAAAGCTACTTGCTTCTTTAGGAAAACGAAAAATGCAAAAGGTAAAGTAACGAACGTTTTTCATTTTTTGCGTTGAGTCTATAGAGCGCGTCAGAAGCCATCAATTTATTTTGATGCTTATTTATTTCCGAGAATGAATCATTTTTTAGCTATTTATGTTGCGCTGCATATTACAGAAAAAATGCATTACTCACCTTTAATTTAATGGAATTGTACAGCATGAATTAAAAAGAGAACGGATTTCATATTCATTTTCAAGACGTTGAAAATAGATAAATAAGCTAAAAATATCCGTTTATTCAGCGTTTCAGTGTATTTCAGCTTTAAAAAATATATGTATGTTTCATTTTTTAATTTCGCTATTACTTTGGTCTCATAAAAATTGCAAAAGAAAGCGTTGAAGACACATTTATATACTCATCCTGTTGGCAACACTAATCACATTGATAGCAGACAAAAAATTGTACAGAAGCATATGAAATTTGCTATTAATTATTTTTTTAAATATTAAATTATAAATTTCACTGTCAAATTTTTATTTTAAATCCCATCAAATCAACAGTATATAATTCTATTAGATTATTATTATTCAATCAATTTTAATTCTACGTCATTCACAATCCAGCAACCTTGCATTGAACTACTTATTAACTTTAGTTCAGTTATTTGCAGAATTGTTCTTCTTATTCAGTGAAGATGAACATTTTGCAAATTATTGCACTGCTTGGTTTTGCTGCATTTTGTGTAAATGCTGGTATTATTGGTTCCATTCAGGGAATAACTGTAGTTGGCCGTCTTGCATGTGGAACAAAGTCTGTACAAGATCAAGAAGTTCAGTTATGGGAAGAAGATTCAGGTTTATTTTTGGCTTACTTTTGTTACTGAAATTTTTCTATTACCAATTGGCTACCAATTTACCGTTGCAAAAAGTATTTAAATGATTTTCAGATTTATAAAATTAGGAACTACGTAAAACAACTATTTTGATAATTTTTAATATCAGTTTATTATAGTAAGAGTATGATTATATTAGATTATGATTAACTTGAAAATGTCGTGAATTTCCTTTAAAAAGTTTATTTTAATTTAAAGGTGATCCTGATGATTTATTAAATACCACAAGATCGGATCATAAAGGTAACTTCAAAGTATTTGGTCAAGACAAAGAAGTGACAGCAATTGAACCATACCTTTCTATTAAACACAGTTGTGAAAATGGCGTAATCAACCCGGTAAGTCATTGTTTAAATCTAAATTTGGTGATTAAAGTACTAACACTATAGCATAAATCTTAAAAATTTTTTGATTTCAAATTAATTCATATTGATACATTCGAGTATTTTCGTATAATCTTTATTTTTATTTTTGGTTATTAATAAAAGAGTGAATTAATTTAATAATCTTAATTTTGATCACAACTATTACAGTTTTCAAAGCTTAAAGTTATTAAATATTCATTTTTCCATTTAGAAATGTTCTATTACTGACGAATATTTGGTTCCAAAAGAATTCATTGGTAAAACATACGAAATGGGTATTGTAAGTTTGAGCATTGCTCGGAAGAATCATAAGAAGAAGTGTAATAACTGATGATCAATTTGTCAATTATTAACTAATCAAATCAGAAATGAAAATAACATCATCACAATATGGCATCAATTGTTTGTTTGATATTATGATAACATATTGCAAATTTAAGAAAAACAAATTTCAGACTTGCTTATCTGTCTCGTTGAAAGAAAAAGTTACTCTAAATGTGTAAACTGAATTTACCTTTCTTTTCAATTTTTTTCAAAATTCATACGTATCATTACTTTTCATAGTTTTCAAATAAATAAAAGCTTATTTCAAGTTCATTGATAACTATGCATTTTTGTCATTTTAAGGCATTTGCTGATAAATATTTTGTTACATTCATACTATGCGATAAAATTAACTACAGCAATACTTAATTTTTATTGTTACTGATACTTATGCATTAATATTTAGAAGATATAATAGTTTTTAATGTATAAGGCGATTAAAAACATCGATATTGATAAAATAAGTAATATATGTGTAGAAATTAATTTATATTTAAGACTTTCTTGAAATTTATTCATTAATGGATATATCCTCGGAAAGTCGGTTTGTTGATCTTATCTTTGGATTCCGAGTGCATTCAAAAGATGAATGAGCAGCTATAAAGTACTAAAAATACGGTAAATTATTATTCAAAAATAAATTGCTTACTTTCAGTTTTCATTTTCAAAAATATTTACATAAGCTGAGGGTTGATCAGTTGTAAAAATATTTATGATCATTTCTACAACTAATAAACACTGAAGGCAGAATTTATCAGTTATATTGTTTGCATATATGAAAAGCAAAAAGATTTTTGAATTGTGGTGAAGGCCTGTTAGACATTATCGTATAATCTCATAACAAGTAGCAAGCATCACAAATGGCAGATGTTCTTAAAGAAGGCAGCGATTGTCTCAAGTCACTTAAAGTTGTCTTCTACACTTAACTTTAAAACAATCTGAAATGTATGCCAAATTATAATTAACTTTTAATTGATAATGTAACTTTATTTAAAGTATTATTGAATTTCATGCTTTTTTGAGTTAATAAATGGTTGTTAGTGTAGATATTTTGATTGAAACTTAAAATGAAAGTAAAGACATCTTTTATAGTAATAAACGAATTTTTATCAATTTATGAAAAGTGGAATTAGGAACGATCGATCGATTGGTTATTTATCATGCTGTAATAGTGTTAGTTGATAACTAACTGTTCGTATCACTTATACTTATCCCTATAGAAATTCAGTGATTCCTAAATAAATATATACAATAAAAAAGAAATTTAGTAGTTAGTATTTCTTGCAATGTTGGAAACTAACAAGCTGGGAACTAATTTTCTAATATTTTTCATCTTTTCTTTTGCTTTTTCTTTAACAAACTTTTTGAAAAAAATTTTTCCCTAGTAACAGTTTTAGAGTGATCATGTAATTGATAATGTAACTTAATTGATAGTGTAACTTTACTTGAAGTGAGTCTATAAAAAGATCTCTCAATTTTCAAGAAAAAATTATGACATATTACATTTTTATGATTGAAAATTATTAACATTTCATTTTAAAAAGTATTTCAGAAAATTTGTTACCATCAGAACCTCAATAATAAGTTCTTATAATAATAACTGATCAAAACTGATAATAATTTAATGGTTTTAACTAAAATGGATAATAATAATATGAATGCTTATAATTAGCAAAGAAACATTTTGTCATTTGCAATCGATCGCTTTGGAGAAAAAGAAAGTAAAATGAATTGGTTAAAAATTGAAAGAGAAAATATAATAAAGCCAAAAAGTACTTTTTTATCTCAAAAAAATTGGTGCTTACAAGTATAGCTAGCCTTGGGATATTATAACAAATTCCGATTACTTGCCCTACTCATCACACATCCAAGCAGTCAGCTTCGATTTTATGCTTCTTTTATCTCAGAAATTATTAAGAAATTTGTTTTTCTGAAGCTAATTTTACGTCGTCATCAGTACTATACCAATAAATTAATTTATATCTTATTTGGTTTGCAATCTATTTGCTTTTTTATTTCTTCAGTAACCAACTGGCTATTTTTTGCTTGTGTTCATTGGATTACCGAAGTGTATTATTACCATAAAAACTACCATAAAAACTGGTGGCACAAGGTGCTCAGATTTTGCAATTATGCTCCTCAATTTTCTCATATTGTCAGAATTGGCTGTAGCATCAACTTTTGCCCTAGGAAGCATCAAAAATATAACTGTCACTGGTCAAATAGCATGCTCTGATCGATCACTACGAAACGTCGAAATACAATTGTGGGAGCATGACACTTGTTAGCTTGATCTTGTTTCATTTGAATTTTATTATAAAATTAGCAGAATATTTCTGTTGTAAATGAAAGATAGTATGTCTCAGTATAATGAGTTATAACTTGAAAATAATAATACTGACACTATTACTCATTTTGTAAACTTAATTTAAATTGCAGTTGATCCAGATGATTTGCTAAAGACAACGAAAAGCGATCATCGTGGGCATTTTGAGATATATGGTGAGGAGGATGAAATTAATAATATTGAGCCATATTTGGTTATTGTGCACAATTGCGATAACGGTGCTACTAATCTAGTAAGTTGAATTTCAAACTTTATGTGTGCTTAACTTGCAATAAATTGTAAATTTTTGCAAAAATTAGTAAATATTTCATTCATGTTAGGTCATAACAATGATGCATTTTCTTCTTTTGGCAATATATATTTTATCTATTCAACCAAAATGCTTTGAGATTGTAATTAATTTAACCTGGAATAAGTATTAAAAATTGTTACTGTTATCTTTCTTATCTTCTTTGAACAAGTCAAAAAAATGTCAGATCAAAAATTAAGTAAATTTATTTATAGTTTAATAAGTCAAGTAATTGATTTTTCTTCTCGTGTTTCCTTTTACCTTTCATTTGTATTCTGACAATAAATTTAATAAATACTAAATAACTTTTTTTACTTTTGATATGTTTTAATTTTCTCAGAAATGTACAATAAAGGATCGTTACGATATACCGACCAGTTACGTAGGCCATGTCTATCAGATGGGCATTGTGAGCCTAAATATTGTCAAAAATCGGCGAAAGCAATGTGTTTAAAACTGGCAGTAAAATAACAAAGTTTTTATGATTTTCATGCAGTACTGATACTTTGCAATGAATTTAATTGCTTTGAATTTTAACACAATAAAGTGTGTATTCAAAAAAATAAAGTGATTCTCTTCTCAGTTCATTCATATGAGTGTATTTCTTTAACTAATCTTCGAAAAGTTTTTTTTTTAAAGTTAGAATAATATTGCTGTAGAAGTGAAAAATTCGTCACTTTCTTGTCCTTATAGTTTTTTAAATCAATATCAAGGTCGGATGATTGATCGTAAAATTTTTACTTCAGTTTTACTTAAATGATCGTCGGTGTATCATAAAAGGAGTCGTCGTCAGTGTATCACTTCTGTTCTATGATTTTCAATTTCTTCAGTTCATGACCACTTTGAAGATGTTTTTGTTTTAACTCAACTCATTTTCTATGTCATTCCTTTAGTTTCATTGACTTTTGACCTTTCAATTAGTCATTCATCCGACTTTTATCACAAAAATTTCAATGCTTAATTGAATTACTACACAATTCATGCTAAAGAATATAATGTTAATTAAATCACAAGAAAAGTTTTTGTTCTCAAATAAAGACGATTATTCAATTTACTAAAAACATGCTTTATTTTGATCAACAAATTCAAATAAAATAGGGATTAAGAGCAAAGTTGAGCTTTACACCAACTCTTTTTACTTCAAAAAAGTAGTAATTAAAATAAATTATTGTCACAGTTCACTTGTTTTTCATATTACGTCACTTTTAACTCTACTTCTAAGCTGTTATTGACTGGCTATGTTTTTCCTGATATATAGTTTAATATTTATCAATATGCGTCAAGCTGTGATTAAAAAAAACAAATGAAAGAAAAATATTAAAAATGATAGTAGAAATTATTTTGCCAGCAAAACTGGTGTGAGTAATTTTTAGACAAAGAGATTTGAAAAACGGATGTTATCTGTAGAAGAATGAATCAGTCGTAAATATACAATTTTTTTTTTTGCTTTGAAACGGTAACTTTGTGAAAAAACTCTCTTGCAGAATTTTTTCCTGAAATTCAGGTTTTTTCAAACAGGTTGCCAAGATCAACCAACCCAACTACAGCTGCTAGGACAACTGTTTTAGATATATACCAAAAAATTGATTTAAAACTACACATACTTTTCCTTATTTGGTTAATTTTTTTTATAAAATCAATCGAAGAAATTTCTTCTTGAAAATTACTAAATTGTGAGCTATACGTTTCCCTATGCACACGTTTTCTTTCTACAATAGTGTGTTTTCTCAGTTATAATTACGATAACTTTCATTAATTCAAAAGTATGACTTACTGTCCAAGCCACATTTTAAATTGTCATTCTGATTACCATTTTTTTTTCAAAAATGTATTGTAAGATAAGACAAATACTGAATTTTTCGTCATTATCAGCCAAAATTTCATTCTTTTATTATTAAATTGAAGGAACTTTTGCATGCATTATTTCTTTTTAGTATTATTTTTAAATGCTGCACTTTTAGAGATTTTGATGACTTCAAACGTGTTATTCTTGTTAACTCTTTTTGGATATCATCTAGCTCTGAATGCAATTTGCACAACAAAAAATGTAACAATAACTGGACAATTAGGCTGTGGTGATCGTGCACTGAAAAACGTTGAATTGGAACTTCGAGAACGAGATACTAATTTGTTTCTTGCGGGTATCAGCTTTAAATATGTGAATTTTTTATTTTCAAAAGAAATAGTGTTGTGATGATAAAAATATCATTGTCATCAAAATATCAGTCCATAGTTGAATAAAATTATCATACGATCTTTAATTTTTTTTAAGAAATGATCTTTACTTTGGGATATACCTTACTTGTTTTGTTGATTTTTATTTCTTTTTACCAAAAATTTTGCAATAACAAGCTGAATATGTAGTAGATCCTGATGATATACTGAATGGAACAACAAGTGATAGTGAAGGACATTTCGCACTTTATGGAGAAGAATGCGAAATTGGTACTATTGAGCCATACTTACGGATCTATCACAACTGTAATGATGGAGCGCTTTCTAAGGTAATAATTTTGCCATTTTAAAATTTGAACAAAATAAATATTAAAACACAATCTGATAAATGTTGACTTATTGACTTCAATAAATTTAACATTACTATCTAAGAAAGTTTTAAGTTAAAGAGTATAAATTTTTTTGGTTTACAAAGATTGCTAATGACACCAGAATTGTATTGAGTTTTGTAAAAATCAATAATACTCAAATAACATAAAAATTCAAGCTACAAACTTAAGTGTCTAGAACTTTTACGAAAAAAATGTGTAGGACTGTGTAATTACTGATGAATTCGATGTACCACAAGATCTGATCGGTGGAGTTTACAACATGGGAATTATAAGCTTGAATATAGCTCGTAAGAATCACCGGAAAATTTGTCGGTGAGCACTTTTATTGATTGTAATATTGCCATATTTCTGAATAATAATTTATGACTTATTACTAGTCATTCATAAGTTATTAAAACTAACAGAGTTGAAATGCTTTATTGAAACATTGTTGGAATCATTTTTTGTAAAAAGCTAATGAAAAAATAGTTCATAACCTATATTACTGCTTATTATTTGCTTAATGTAAATTTTTCTCATTAGTTCATATGAGTTATGAAATATCAATTCTCAACCTCGATTTAAAACTAAATCCGATTTTTTTTTCAACTCCCAGCAAATATTTGTAGTACAATGAATCACAGATAATTTATTCATAAGTTTATATACTCATGAAAGGTCAAACAAGCCATGCAAAAACTTGTTACAGGAATATATTGGTAAACAAATATTCGACGTAATTCTTCTATACGAGCACATCGTGAAAATCACATAACGAAGTGTAAAAACACTCCACTTTTTATTCTTCTAAGGTGAAATTGGATTTTTTTAGTCTATTTGAATTTGTTTGCAAAAGATAAAATTTTTGATCTTAAGGTGGGAAACCTTCACACTTTTGTCAAAACAGGATATGTGGCAATGATCAAATAATTCTTCACTTCATTATACGTCATCAGACCATTCTTATACGATTCTTATCAAAATTTATTAAATTATGTTTCTTCTAAAATTTGAGTGTAAAAATAGTGTTCCTTTAAAGAGATATGAACACTTTTTTATCAAACAACGCTTCAGGCTAAATATATAAGAAATTACTGAAATAAAATTGTACAGTAGTTATTATTATTATTAACTCACAATAACGATTATCATCGAAGTACTTCAATTTTTATGCGATCCTTAGGTTTGGTCAAAATTGCAGAAAATTCTCAATTTTTTTCATTATTTGAATGAATTTCTGGTACATTTGTTGTGAAAAAAACTGTTCTCAAAGAATATTCAAAATAATTATAGACTGTATGGAACTTGAAAATGTCAAAAGAAAAGCTTTTTTAGACAAAACAGAAATTACATAAAGAAATATTACAGAGGCAATGTGAGAGCCTTAGAATGTTATGACTTACCAGCATTCTATTCATATTTTAGTAGAAAGCAATGCAAAATTGATGTAAGTATAAGTTTGATAAAATGTTGTCGGTTTACTATCATACTATTTTTCAATTGTTGGAAAATGTAGACCAGTTCTCTCTATATAACGGATAGACAGCGTAAAGCTATAAGTTATATTTCACGACAATAATACTTTTTCTGGTGATTTCTTTTGTTAATAATTTATTGCTACTGTCCATTACTTTGAAGTCATAGAAACTATTGTACACACTCAGTAGCAGACTATTTTTAATCTCAAATAATTAGAGTTAAAATATTGTGTGATGTCGAATAATGCACAAAAGCCCTCATCACGAAAATTGTCTTAGTTACTTCGTAATGTTTGTTTCATTTGAGTCGATGGAATAGTCAGCAAATTTCTCTTTTTCAGCGCTTTTTTTTTGAACAATCTCATTATAAAAATTTAGGCTTTGTCAGAAATCAATGTTAGTACTTTTGCTGTTTTTGCATTTTGAACTAGCCAACAGTTTTTTTTTCATTGGTAAAGAGCAAAGGGTTACTGTAACAGGTAGCATTGGTTGCGATGATAATGCGCATGATCGAGATGTTTACATCGAGCTATGGGAGCAAGATTTTGGTGAATTTTCTTGCTAATCTCCTTTTAGTTGAATATTTCGATCAAGTTTTAATGGCCAAATTAAAACTACAATTTGTTACTTCATACTACTGTAATAAAGATTTCACTTTTATCATAATTGTAAATTTTCTAAAGTGAAAAAAAACTGCTAAATATTAACCATAAACAATTCCACATTTCAAACATACATATTTAATAAAGAAAAAAGATTCAATTTTTGTTGTGTGCTTGCTATCAAATTAACTGAATAAATTAGATGAAAATAACATAGTTACTATGTCTGAAATAACGAAAAATGCAATTTTCATCAATGTCTGATGATAAATTGAATTCGACACAACCTGATTCTGAGGGCTATTTTGAAATTACCGGGAAAGAGAGAGAAATAGGCTCGGTGAACATATATCTTCTCATTAGACATCACTGCTATCAAGGCACAGTTAACATGGTATGTTCAGTGCGTAATTTGTTTCAGTCTAAGAAATGGATTACTGTTCCAAAAAATGATACAAGTCGTCTATGGTATTCCTATTTCATCAGTAATCATTGTAGAATATAGCAAATATCCTGATTGAAGTAAAGTGAAAACTATTAATACTTCATATTGACTACAGTTTAAAACGCATTTGATTTGTCGCTTCGTATTTCATGAGTTTATGATCTTTTTGACCTTTTGAATAAATCTGAGCAGTAAAACTGAACAAGTTGAAAACGTAGGCAGAATAAAATACGATGCTTTTTCTTATGTTTGTATATAGACAAGGAAAGTATTTCGGCGACATGTAGTGCTATTGCATCTAATCATAGAGGCAGATGTGATGGCTAGAAATCAATCATTAGTGAAACTTTTTCTTTCCGAACATTGCAAGATTCTTTTAAACTATTTACAGGAAATAAATCATTTAGTTACATTTTACCTACTTGAATTCCACACGGCTCCATCAGTTTTTTTAAAAAAAAAACAGATTGTCAGAAGATGAGTCAATTTCTTTTCCCTCGCATCACACATCGTAATGACTTTTATCAGTTCTTTTCAAAATGTTCACAGTAGGATTATATAATTTTATTAAAGTGGAAATTTTCATACTTTTCACTGATTTTCGGAATTTTTAGAGATGTACAGTCGTGGATTACTTCCCAATACCAGCTGAGTCAATCAACAAAGTCTACAGAATGGGTATTGTTAGTTTGAATATCTATCATAAGAACCGAAAAACAAGATGTAAGGAGCGGACTAGAAAATGGAGAGAAGACTGAAGATCTATTTTAATGAAATTTGATATTTCAATTCGTTAATGTGCAAAGCACGAATATATGCCTAAATTGGGTTTTTTGAAAACTATTAAAAACTGAGAATTTGCAAAGACTATGGTATGCGTAATAATCATTTCATGTGAAAAAATTAAGGATAACAATTTATTCATAGTAAATGATAGAAATAATTCAAAAAATTTCAATTGAACAAATTTTAACGGTACAAAAAAAATAAATGAATTTTAGTGAAAAGAATTTTCAAATTCTCGCTTCACACATAAATCGTTCATTATTACTTATGAGCTGGATTAATAGGCGCCGTAAATGCTTCAGCTGTCATCGGTCGATTACTGAAAACACATCTTGTTCAGATATAATAATCAATTACAGTTTAGTGCAATTAAAACTCTAAACAAGAACAGTGTCCTTCAGAATATTTTAACTTTATAATTTTAGAAATTTCTGACCAAACATAAGTGTAATAAGATGTATTACTCGAAAAAGTTTTTACAGACTTTATTTCATTTCTGGCAAATTCAGCTTCATATCATTGGTAGCTACTAAAAGCGACTTTACCAATCATTTGTTTTAAATACTTTTTATAGAAATTTTTTAATAGATGATAACTGGCTGCAAGCCCTTCGTTAACAAGTAGGGTAAAAAAATGTTATTATTTAATGATTTGTTAATGATATGTTTGAAGAAAAGACATATTAAAAGGTCTGATGGTTTTGAAAATGTTTTCGATAATGGTTATCTGACAGCTAACCCCATTTCGGTTGCTTTGTTGCCAAATTTGGAGCCATCATCCATAGTTAAAGCACCAGCACCCAAACCAAAGCCAACACCTTTGGGTCCAAACTTTCTGCCATGGCATTGCTTGCAGTACAGTTCAGCTTCATGAGGAGCTACATTTGTTGAATCCAACAATTTGTTACATAACTCTGTAAAGTTGGACAATCCAGAGAGAAGAAGGATAGGTAATCAGGGATTACATGCTGCGTAACTTAGATATTTTTCCAAACACTGTAATAACAGCTAAAAAATTAGAAGCTGTAAAAACACACTTTCATTAATGACTTCCTTGAATATTCTACTGTTTGTTTTGAACAAGACGGAATTCTTACGTATACATATGTGTTTTACGAATGAAACTTGAAGAAATCGTGCAATTTTAGTCTTCATTTGTTATTTCAAGATTTGTTAGCAACACAGACGTGCTTTGTTAACAGATTTGATGTGATATTCCAATTATTAAACAAAAAAAAACAATAAACATCATTTGTATCTGTTTATTTCATATCTCAATGAATTACATTTGTTGGCGAGATTTCGTTGCAACTCTCACTGCGTAGCTCATAATGAATCATTAAGAATCATATTTAAGCACTAAATAATTGCTTGATTATGATTTAGAGATGGATATCAACATGTTGACAAATAGGGCAATTATTTTTCAACAGAACGATAAAACAGGCAGTAAATCACAGCATGCAGTATTTAATTGGAAGTTTTCAATGCAATAGCAAAACAACAAAAATAATAATGCCTGGAGGAGATGGGATTAATATTAGAATCAAAAAACCGCAGCTGCTGTGTATGTTATAAATGGATCAGCTGATCAACTAACGTCATTTCCACTTGAGTATTACCAAAATGTTCTCCCGTGTCCATAGTTAAAGCTCCAGCACCTATACCAAAACCGACCCCCTTAGGACCGTATTTTCGACCGTGACATTGTTTACAGTATAATTCAGCTTGGTGCTCACAGCAGTTTGTTGAGTCAAGTAATTTATTACACATTGCTGCAAACAAGCATGACAGGCGTCATATTGTGTGTAGTAACTGATAATTGTTTACATAGATTGGTGGTTTCTTCAATACATTTAAATTTTGATATTATAGATTTTATTGATGTAATTGACAAAGTTAAAAATTAGTTAGCCAGTACATATTATTGAAGATGTACAATTCATTCTCGCCTTAATTTCGAGAAGTGTAACTTCTAAATGTGAGGAACAAACAGCTGAATCTAATTTATAATTCAACTATTTATTAGCTTATCAAAGGATTTGGAACAATCCTTCCAAGTTTAAAGTATGCCTAATTTATTTATTATAGCTTCAACTAATGGAATAATTTGTTTACATGTGCAGTAGAAAGAAATTAAAAAAGTTATTAATGCTAAGAAAGAGTAATATCTAATAAATCATCAATACGTCTTGTAAACTTTGAATAATATAAACACAGCAAAAGTAAACTGTTCATGGAAGTTTTATCTAGATGTATAAGGACGTACTGAGGATCAGAAGAGTACTGATCATTCTGCGAGCTTTATACTTGACAGAAATGCTTCAAGATAAATTATTCAGTAATAAAAACTGAATTTCGCAAAGATGACTCATTATTTCATAAATAACTAATTTAAAGATAAAATTGTGCGAATTCAAACACACATATACAATCTGTTAATTTCACGTAAAATGGTGCAGAAAACACCAAATCAATATTGTTAAACAATATTATTGAACTTTACTTGGTTTTAGTCTTATTAGTTACCATAAAGATTTAACTCTCAGCAAGAGTAAATCAGTGTGAATAAATGTTCGCAAAATATTAAGAAGAAAATTAAACAAACCACATTTGAAACAAAATTTATGCCATTTGTAGCCGCCAGCACTCATTTCTTCTGCAGCATACACAGATTTACCACACTTTGGGCATTTCGGATGTTCTACTGGTTTGAATGGCATGTCTTCTTCTGCTGAAAAATTTGTATAAAATATTTTAATCAACGATATAAATGATCACAACTCTTCATTAATTAAGCAATAATTCGCTGAACTTAGAAGGTATAAACTATTTAAGATGAGAAAGTGAAGCAAAAAAAACTTCCTAAAATAAAAAAAGCCACGAAATAATCATCTCATGACTGATTGATTATTCACTGCATATTTTTCACTTCAAAAATTTTTAAAAGTTGGTATACAAATTCTTTACTTTCTTTTCATTGCAAATAAATGAAAGTCAGTTGTAAATCACTCAAATTTCAGAAATAGTCAACTTTTATAATCAAAAGTTTAAAAATTGTTTGAGATTAAGCTTGTCATGTTAAGATGTGCTTTATTCATCGGACCACATTAATGGACGCTTTCGATTTAAATAAATTCCTTTTTTTCTCAAAATACAATAATCAAAAAAGTAATTTGAAACTATTTTTGTTCATTCTAATTGTGTGATAAAATAAGTGAATAAATTAGACGAAATGAGCGTAAATCTGAAAAAGTTAAATAACTTTTCTATTTGTATTTACAAAACTAAAAACGATGTCAAGTAACGAATACGGTTGATATTTCCATTGCTTTTCCTACTTTCTGTACAATAAAAAATGACAAATTTCGAGCTGAAAGTCTAGAAAAAAATTGTCTTCTGAAGGGCATTTACTTGTGTAAAGAAATTTGAACTGATAATATTTACTTCAGACTTTTTTTTCTCAAATATCTACCTTGTCTAACAAAATGTAAAACAATTCTATGAATGACATAATTTTTAACTGAATAAAATAAAGGCAATAGTGTAGATGCAAGCAGAACATTACACCAAACAATCTATGAAGGGTGCAGTTTTGTTAACTCAAGTCAACAAAACTGCCACATGATTCATACTTCCAGTCAATTTTACTGCCACAAACTGCTTATATTTCATAAAAAAAAGAAATCGACTATTATGTTTTTTCTTAAAGTTGAAAATTATCATGATTTAAAAAGTCAACAAAATTTATTAAACCTGCAGGTAAATAGGTCAAAACGAAATTGAATTAGGTGAGAAGATCAAAAATTGATTTAACTGTAAATTTTGCTAGTAATGGAAATGATATGAGATGTAAACTACAATGTATATTGAAATTTTAATGTAGTATACAAGGAGAGTGTATGCTTTCGTGCGGTAAATTTACACAGTTCTTATGTTAAAAATTAGAAAAGTTGTTGAGATTTAACTGACAACTATTTTTGTTGGCTGATTTAATTGTTATTACACTAAGATTTTGCTTTATGAGGTGAAGAACTATTTCAAAAAAAGATTAGTCAACAAGAAATTTTAGTGAACAAAAATTATACACAACTAGTACCACAGAAAATTTTAAGTTAGATTCATTTCATATTAAGTTCTTGTAATTATTGAATAAAAAAACAGAACAAAGTTATAATATATTTTGTAGTAATTATGATTTACTAAACTTATTTTAAAGAAAGGAATAGTATTGATAGATTACAAATACAAGCAGAGGAGTCATGTCTAGAAAAGTAAGCAAGCAGTGAGCTGACAAAAGCAACTCCAGCAAAAGTAAACATCTTCAGTAAGTTTTAGAAAAAGTAGGAACAGTAGATGGATAAATAAATAGACAGATAGATAGATAGATAGATAGATAGATAGATAGATAGATAAGATAGGTAGATAGGTAAATAGATAGGTAGATAGACAGGCAATTCATAGTTAGCAAATTTGCTCTTACAATTTTTATTCTATCTATCCAATCCAATCTGTCTTAAACTGATTGATAAATTTACCATTTTTTCTTTCAATTTAATGCATATAAGTGAATTTAGTAATGAAACCAAAAAGAATGTAAGTGAATTTCTCATCATAATGCTTTTCTACGACTGAAATGAGTCAGCCAGTGTAGCATTACAAAAATTTTAAACCAATTTTCTGCACTACATTTGAAAAATGCCAATAGAAAACTAAAGCTTTGTAATATACACTCCCAATAGCAGTCTTAATTACTTGGGATGCTTTTCTTTTCCGCAATGTCAAGCAATTAAAAATCAACAGTTTTAGATTAATTTATAAAGCTTTAATATTGGAATGCAAGAAGCAAATTAGGCCAGTTGTTGCTTGCTTTCTGATGCTGAATAAATTGATAGATTAGAGCTAGATTAATTTGACTTCAGACTAGTTTTGCCATAAAGTTAGTCAGTGTAATGATTTAGTAAGAACTGTTAGTCAGTGTAATGATTTAGTTAAAAATGAAGTTAAAATTACAGCTAGAGTTAACCGTCTATCTCTTTTACTCTTTTTATAGAACGCAATCCAACTAGATTATCTTTCTCTTACTACCGTTTATCATCACAATACGAAATGTATGCATAGTTCGTTCTCATTGAAAGCATTTTTACATTTCTTGCATTTTGCACTAACAAACAATTTTGTAAGTATTACTAATATAATTTCATTTTTACAAATCTTAACTCAGTTTTAAAACAAAAATACCAGCACATTTGTAAAAAATTTAGTTCTTCCAATTCCAGTACTATTCATCCATATCTGAGTAGCCATTTCCTTAACAATTTCCCACGTAATTATTCATGATAAAATTGGACAATCTCTAAAAATTAGCTGCAATCACTTCATTATTCTGTCAAATGCATACATCCATTACATCAAAAGTTTCTCTATACGTATTCAAACATAATATTGCGTTCTACGTATTTTTACTTTACTCCACTTACATAACTTTTAATATTTAAAAATTAAATTAAATTTAAGGTAAGCAGCATGACATATTAGACAATTAAACTTGAACATATATTGTGCCAATAGACAATCGGATTTTTATACTTGCCTTAAAACAAATTAATTATACTTGTGGTTGTGTTTTCCAATGTTTTTGGTCTACTGCAGCTTTTTTGATTTGTTACATAATTGTGTTTCTGTAGTTTTCTG